TCAAGTCACTTAGTCGCTAGAATCACTCATGTCTAGCAAATAATTCCAATCAACTCACCTTGGTGATGTACAATCAGCTTGCAGTAACTGGTGCTACAAGCTGGATTAGCTTTATGATCGATATGATTACGATCCTTGTACTGATTTCGATGCTTCGGTGTAACTACATGTAATCAACAGCCAAGAAAAAGTAAAGCCACAACGAATGAGCAATAAAGCCGCCAAAATATTTCGTTTCCTTGCCTCAGGAACGCGATCAAGTGCTACATCCTCGAGTAAATACTGTAACTTTCCACTTACCAGCGGCCTGACGTACGTCCAAGCCGTATCTTGATCTCAGAGAATCGCGTGAGCTTCGCTCTTCAAATGGCCCTTATTAATAGCTGAAATATTAATATTAATAGCCACTGTAGGCTCGATGCCAATCCAGATCTCTATTGATAGTTATGAGGTTAAAATTTGTCTTCCAAATATTACTAATCAGATCGACAAAAATGCCATTACCGTATTTGAGATCTCCTACTTCAGACCCAATATTTTTGAAGTTGTATTGTTGCAAAATACACAAGATCTGTACACGTACCGACGCATCTCTATCACGTTTTATTTAAACAAAACAATTTAGTTATTAATATCAAGTTCTTCTTCGGGAACTACGAAGTTTTCTATGTCGTGACGCGTATCCACAGCATGGCGCACTACGGGCACTTCTTCCAGCAGCCGTCGTAGCAGCTCCCAATCAGGTTCACTGTCGGAAAGCTCCGTTCCAGCCTCTAAGTTTTCAGTAGGCTCAATGGATACCATTTTTGCTTTCTCAAATCCGCTTCTAACCGTTTTGCGAGACAACGCATTCCACGAATTCTTCGTCCAACCTATTAATTGCTGCCGTGTAGGTGCTTTTATCTTAAACGGAAGCGTCGAAGTTGAAGCGCGTAGTTGTTTCAACATGTTCTCCACCCAATTTTTCCGCATTTTGTCTTTTAATGGCTTGTTCCACGAAATATCAGCCGGTTGGCACGCAAACGTGTTGGTGGAAAGTTACAGTTTAGCATGTTTTTTGTACTCTGAATTAGGAGATCTAGACTTGTGCGCTGTTCCATTCTCGATATGTGATTGGTTGGAGGGCAGTCTGAATTAGGAGATCACTCTGAAGTAGGAGATCTCAAATACGGTACTATCAATCCCTGTTGGTGACGAAACCAATCTGCATGCTTGTACTTCACATTGCTGTCTACTAGCCGAGCGCCACCGCTACGCGGCGGGTAAATACGAATGTCGTTCCTTGTGTTTGCCTCCGTTCCGCTCGCCACGGGCTCGCTTCACTACTCGCACGGTAGGTTGGCAGATTGTGGCTCAGGCGGGCCCAAAGGCCCGCAGGGTTGCAGAAGGTGCCGATTTGGGCGCTCGGCAGCTTTTAGGCCAATGGGGGCCACCTTCGCTGCGCTCGGCAGCCAGTAGAAATATTTAAATAATTTTATCCAATGATTTGTCCGGAAAAGCGTGACAGGCACGACAATTTAAGATTAGCAATGGATCATTTTACTATTATTTCCACATTTTTAGACTGCTTAAAGATTCTTAAAACGTTAACGATTTTAATCTCTAACCATATAAAATCGAAATGAATGTCACAAACATGCAAGAGAACGAAGACTATACAGCAATCAAATTTCTTGTTGGTGAGGGCATCACGCGCTTGTTGGCGATCACAATACCGTCTGCTTTTAATTTAGTTCCTCTTAACTGTCAAGTCAGCTTCAAGCATCTAAGATCTGTTGAGTCGACACTTTTGGCTCGACGCCAGTGGCTTCAACGTAGATGCCGTTCATCGATCGCCACCCAGACGTACGTGATGACTTGATCGTCGCTCGCGAAGATCATGAGCGAGAGCAACATCCTGCCGCATTTCATGTACACCGATTTTACTAAACTTAGTATTATTAGTAAACTTCAAGAGATAAAGTCGAGTTGTGCATTCTTCAGGTTAGCAACCTTTTGCATGTACTGGCCGTGTCATTCTCACTCTGAATGCTCATTACTGTGACCACCGCATTGAACATCGTGCTTAGAAGTGGAGCTGTTCGCCGTGCTTGTGCACCACGGTCGCCTTCTGCGGGTGGTGGTGGCCAACAAGCGCCACGTAAACGAGTCCGCCGAGTGCACCACCGACTGTCGGGCCCACGATTGGCACCCAGAAGTAGTAGTGGTTGAGCGAGAACACCTGTGAGCCCCAACCGGCAGTCAGCATCATGAGCCGCGGGCCGAAGTCGCGGGCCGGGTTGATGGCACAGCCGGTGTTTACGCTGAAGGCCATGCCGATGCCGACAACCAGAAGAGCGACGGCACTGGGGGCACTGAACGGGCTGGCCGGACGGTTGTGCTGGTCCAGCACTGCAAATATGCCGCCTACCAGCAGAGCTGTCGCGAACACCTCGGTCAGGAAGGCGATGAAGTTGGATACGTGCTCGTTCGGGTACGTCGCGAAGATGGCGTGCGTGTGCTCGCGATCCGGGTCGGCGACGTTAAGTAGCGGCCGGTACAGCACGTAAATGAACAGAGCTGCCAGATATGCAGCCAGCGTCTGTGCGGCCACGTAGCCAGGCACTTTCCTCCACGGGAGCATACCGAACAGCGCCGCGGTGGTCGTAATGGCCGGGTTCAGGTGTGAACCCGAGACGCCGCCGCCGATGTGGATGCCGAAGAGCACACCGATGCCCCAGCCGAACACAATCTGCGTGAAGTCGCCGTACTTGCTGTCACTTAGGATAGACTGGCACGTGGCACCCAAGCCGAAGCTCATCATGACGAAGACAGCCACGAACTCAGCAAAGATTTCGCGGACGTGCGGGTTCTTGAGCGCGAATCGGCTCGGGCTGACAATGGGCCCTCCGCCATTCACCGCAGCTTCGTGAGATTCAAGGTCCACGTAACCGTGTTCGGTCTTGTCAGTGTGTGAGGGGGTCGCCATCGTAGAAATTAAGCGCTTGACAGGAACGGAAGTGTCGGAGCCTCGGAGGTGAATCGAGAAATGAACTTTTGCAGCGAAGCCTCGATGCTGTTAGAGCCACCGACGATGGACAGGAGGCTTTGCTCTTAATCCTACATGTACTGCTACTACGCATTGTGAAGTACACAACACCCTCGTTTAACAGATTAATGTGAAGCCTTACCACCAGTAGCAACACGAGGAAGACCATGTTGAAGTTCAATGGCTGTAGAGGTCCAGTGGCCAAGCACTGCAACGGCGACTTGCCTTCATTTTATTCTCATTTCGCCGGCACACACTCAACTTCAAGGCACATTTAGAGATGTGGGATCTGTCAGGCTTCGAACAAGCTGCTGAGAAGCAGCCATTGGCGGCATCGAGCTCCGTGTGGGAAGTTGCGCGTATCAGCACAACACAAGCAGCGCCACAAAGCCCTTTTGCGCTCGTTCGTCGCGATGGCAAAGACGTCGCTCCTCGAGACCAAGCAGCACCAAGTGGACACCCGTGATCGGCGAAGCATGCCAACGTCTTTCCTACACGGCACTGTACCACACGATGACTTTCGCTCCAGACATAAAGTCACAGCTTGGCATAATCAAGAAGCGAAATGCTGGTGAACGTGCAGTGGAGATGCTAGGACGATGAAGGCAGTCGAGCGTGCAGCGCCTGAGCCGTCACCGTTGCTGGGCTCGAAGTTCGGATCGCCGTGACTGGCGCGCGTCGATCGCCTCCAACCGAAACTCACCACCATCCACGTTGAAGCTGACATTGCACCCCTTCATGGTGTAGATCGCTACATCGCCTCAAAAACTGTTGACGTTGACAATTCCGGCGGCACTACGGCAAGAGGACGTCCTCCTGTCCGAGGTATCGTATGCTACGTACGACGTAGCTGACATGAGTCGTGACTTTAACATCCGCCCGACATGGCTTCATCTTCGCCGCAGCCTGTTCTATACAGTACATGTCAACCGCATGGACTTCAGATTAATGCTCTAATGTCATGCCAGACCACCACCATTCCAGCCGCAGCTCACACCAAGCAGCCACCGAAAAGTGTTGACTCGACAGTTTTTTCATCCATCTCAACTTGGCTGCTATTCAGTGTCGCCTTCACGCGATGTGGGGGTTCCTATACTGTAATCAAACGTCTCCTTTATCAACGAGCGAGACGGTGAGCAGTGAGCTCAACTCGCATACTTCCCGCACCGTTGACACCAATGCTAACAACGGGGAATGCTCATCAGATTCCCCACGTACATTCAGCCCACGACTGATACAGCTACTGCATCTCGCCACCGACTGCGAAATTTACAAGTGCGGATCAAAAGGGAAGGACCGCTTCGAGTTCTACAGTAGTCACTTCGCAATTATCTTTCTCATACTGGTACAGTAGCAATTGATCATTACGGTACCAGGCCAACGTAAACGCCGACGAGGTCTGCAGCCTGCTATTGATGCCAGCAGATTCTCCGTGACGAGTCTGGAATGCCGCTCCACTTGCCTTTTCACTCGTCTCGACTTGCCCAGAAATATAGCCATTTTCTTCCCAGTGGAATTTTTGTGGGTTGATTACCCCGGGGTTACCCACCCCACCCTTTGACTCCCATACTGCACCCCGTTTTCGCGGGGGTGGACCATATAGGATTTACAAATTAATTAGATTTTAGTAAACAAATTAAATTTCATCTGGATTCAGGATCATCACATCCGGAAGTTTATCAAAGATCCAAGGGCGCGAAAACGGGGTGCCGTACTGTATCTGGTTTTGGGTTATTATTTGTACAGAGTACTCTTCAGGATAATGACAATGTATTATTGAAGGCTATTAACTTTATTTAACCATATATTCGATATTAAAGGGTAGAGTGCTTAGGGTAAGAAAAACCCTTTTCCCGAAGAACCCGGGTTTTCCAGAGCCCTATTCTTCTGTAGCAAACAAGAATGTTTGTAAATTAATGCCTGAATTAGAGTGCGTAACACCAAAGTGTTCAAAGCTCACACCTCGAACGCCATGTCTCGCCACCGCAACGTACGCAACCGCGCGTACTCGTACGAGGACGAAGGCAAGTCTGCTATGATACACTCCTCCGCATAACCGTGCTCATTGCTATGCACTAACACACTCCTGCCTCTAGATTATGACGAATATTACGACGACTACGAACCCACTTCACCCAACTCGAGTATGAAAAAGAATCCTGCCTCATAAACTTGTATGATTGTCTTTATTTGACACTATCCTTCCCATTGCAGACGAGTTCATGTATCGTCGGGACTCGCCGAGTCGCCAGCGATCCGTCTTCTCCTTCGTACAGCAAGAAGACACCGAGAAAGAGACCCAGGAGCCCACCAATGACCCGGGAGATGTCGAGATCCTGGAAGCCATGATACCCCAAGTCCAACAGGCCGTGGGTAGCAGATTTTCGGCCCATCAGATCACACAGGAGCTCCGTAGCGCCAACTACGACCTGGACAAGACCGTAGTGGCTCTGCTAGAGAGAGGTAAAGCTCCAGCCGCAGCTGGTGGCGTGTTACCATTGCAGATCCAGATCCCCAGACTGGACGCTGTGGCTCTCGCCATTGGCAACGAGGAGAAACAAGAGCTTAAACCTAAGAAGGAGATCGTCATGCCTGCTCCTGCTAGGGGCAAAGCTTTGGCTATTGGAGCCCTGCCGTCGACGCCCAAAGAAGAGAAGAAGCCTCGTATATCTGCAGCCGATGCAGCCAGTGCCGCCCCAACAATTTCTCGTGCACAGACGCAGTTCACCCCAGCGGAGAAGAAGGCGCTCGAACGCGCCGAGTTGAAGACACAGGAGCAGGCTGTCAAGCTGGAGGAAGAGGCGCGAACTGGAGGCAAGACGAAGATCAGTATGGTCGTGATTGGACATGTAGACGCGGGCAAGAGCACGATTACTGGTCATTTACTGTACAGACTTGGCTATGTGAGCAAGAGATTGATGCACAAGTACGAAAAGGAGTCGCGGGAGGCCGGCAAGTCTTCCTTTGCCTACGCTTGGGTCATGGATGCAGATGAGGAGGAACGATCGCGTGGTGTTACGATGGATGTTGGTACGAGCCATTTTGAGACGGAGACGAAGCATGTGACGCTACTGGATGCACCAGGCCACCGAGATTTCATTCCCAAGATGATTGCAGGAGCAGCCCAGGCAGATGTCGCTGTGTTGGTGGTGCCAGCGGTGACTGGCGAGTTCGAGGCAGCATTCGAGAACTCTGGACAGACCAAGGAGCATACGTTACTGGTGCGAAGTCTCGGTGTCGCGCAGATGGTCGTGGCAGTCAACAAGATGGATATGGTCAACTGGGACAAGGAGCGCTTCGACAGCATCGTGACGTCGCTGTCCATGTTCCTCCAAGGCGCAGGATTCCGTCCGAAGAACTTGCGCTTCGTTCCCCTCAGTGGTATAACCGGTGCGAATCTGGAGAAGACTGGCGGAGTAGACGAGTGCTCGTGGTACTCTGGGCCTTCACTCGTAGAGGCGATCGGTAAGTAGACTGAATTGTGGCTAGTGGGGAGACTCAAATGGGGGTGACATAACAACGTCAAATCGCTGTGAACAATTACAGACACCTTCGCTCCTCCTCAGCGCCAGATCTCCAAGCCCTTCCGGATGACCGTCTCAGACGTTTCCAAGTCCATGAGTTTGGGTCAGACGATCTCAGGTCGCGTCTACGCTGGTGCGGCTGCGGTGGGCGACTCGGTAAGCCGCATGAGCGAGTACGTTCTATCGATGTTGTACTAACCCGAACTATGCGCCATTGCTGCAGTTCCTCTTGATGCCCATTGGACTCACTTTGACTGTAAAAGGTGAGTAACTAGAAGCTTAGAGGAGGCTCCATACTTGTTGCTGATACTCACTCATTTAATTGACACTTGCGGGTGATTTAGGAATGGAACAAGATGGCAAGGCGTGCTCACTTGCACGTGCCGGAGACACCATCGAGATGGGAGTCACTGGCATTGATCCGTCGGCACTGACGTAAGCCTGTTCTTATCCTGTATATCGTACCGCTACTCGATCTTTAACCTGTGTATGTGCGTTTTACAGCACTGGTAGCATTTTGTGCTCGATTGCGTCGCCTGTGCAACTCGCTAAGAAGTTTGAGGCCAAGATCATGACTATGCCGGCTGTGGAGGTGCCTCTAGTAAAGGGAACGTACATGACGATCCACATGCACAACGTCGACGAGCCTGTGAACATCACGCGGTTGGTGAGCATGTTAAGCAAGACGGGCGAGGTGGAGAAGAAGAAACCGCGCTGTATCACTCGCGAGCGCTCGGCTGTGGTGCAAATCACGTGCCACCGCAAGATCTGCCTCGAGGAGTTCGCAAACTACCGTCAGCTCGGACGCTTCACACTGCGCGATCGCGGCAAGACGCTGGCTGCCGGCATTATCACGCAGATCATCGCTTAAGTGTGCGTTAAGTTGTCAAAGACAACATAGATCGATCGATACGGGATATGAGAGATGATACAGAATAACACCTGCCCTTAAACCATCAAACCCAGCATACACATGCAGGATAAGAGAAATGATTTTCTGTATTCGTTTTACGCGAAGGATGACCTGGTCGTCTACTCCTTGAGCTCGGCGAGTTCTCCGTCCTCCTGCAGCTGCTGCACGATGTCCAGTCCGCCGATCAACTCGCCATTGACGTAAAGCTGCGGGAACGTGGGCCAGTTCGAGTGCTCCTTCAGTCCCTGACGCACGCTGTCGTCCGTGAGGATGTCAAAGTAGTCGTACTTGAAGCCCTCGGCGTCCAGGATGTCCACGAGCTTGCGACTGAAGCCACACTGCGGCTGCTGGGGCGTTCCCTTGATGAAGATCATGACGCGAGCGCGGTTGATTAGCTGTTCGTATTTGTTCTCCTTCTTGGCCTTCTTCTCCACGCCAAGCTGTTCACTGAGGTCGCCGTCCTCCGCCATCTCGTTCAGGATATCCAGCCCACCAACGAGTTTGCCCTTGACGTACAGCTGCGGGTACGTAGGCCAGTTGGAGAACTTCTTAAGACCTTGACGCACCTGCTCGTCACTCAAGATGTCGAACGAACTGAAGCCAATCTGGTGGTCACGTAGGAGCTTGACTGTCTTCTTGCTAAAGCCGCATTTGGGCTCGGACGGATGGCCTTTCATGAAGAGCAGCACTGGAGCGGAGTTGACGAGTGCACGGAGACTCTCTTGGAAGGCAGCTTCAGCCTCCTCGACGTTCTTCGTGAGTCCTAGTTGCTCGACGATGGATCCCTCGGACTTCATCTCCTTGACGATGTCCAGTCCGCCAATGAGCGAGCCATTCACATAGAGCTGAGGGTAAGTGGGCCAGTTGGAAAACTGCTTGAGTCCTTGACGCACTTCGTCGTCATTGAGGATGTCAAAGGTGCCGAATTGGATCTTTTCTTCGTTCAACAGCGCCACCATCTGTCGACTAAAGCCGCACTTGGGCTCCGTCGGATTGCCCTTCATGAAGAGCATGACGGGTGACGCGCTGATGAGCTTCTTGAGACGGTATTCGAGCGCGTCATCCAGCGGTTTCGGGGCGTCCTCGGCTGTGGACGCGGATGTGGAGCTGCTCTTGGCCACGCTCTTGCTCAGAACATCCACGCGCTTGGCCAGTTCGGCCACATTGGCGCCCTCGAGTTTGTCCAGCACGGCGCGACCCTGTGCGACGACGAAAGTGGGCACTACGGCGATCTGAAAACGCTCCGAGAGCTCCGGAATCTCCTCGGCCGCCACCTTGAGGAAGCGGATGCGAGGGTGCAGAGTCGCGAGCTGGCGCACCACCACGTCCAGCTGTCCATTGGGACGGCAGGCCTCGTGAAATTCGGCCCAGAAGAAACTCACGGATAGCGTCGACTCGCGCGCCGTTGCCTCGTCGAACTGCGCCACACTCTGAACGCTTACCACACTGCCAGTCACCGCCGCCATTGTCGCTTGGGCTCGAGGACACTTTCGATGTGTATGACGAATGCCAGTGCATAGCCTTTTATACGTCATGTAGAAAACCAAAAAATGGTCAAATAAATTATACGTAAAATAATGCCGGGCGCTTTCATGACCTAAAAAAAAACACTCCTGGACACAAATACTTCAAAAAGAAACCTCGCATGTGTGATTGGTCAATGTCCATTTTGAGATGGGTACGATTGGTTAAAACGATTCATATGAGGATTTGTAAGCACACGAAATTGCTTTTAGTGATATACCACTAGATTAAGCTTCGTTTGCGCTTTTTCTAGTATATTTTACGGTTTAATTCTGATCCCATTTAAAGAACTGTTAGCTCTTCTCGGACCAGACAAGTATACGGCCACCTTGTCGAGTACCCATAACTCAGTCAATTTTTCTTATTTGACGGTGTGGTTTTCGCACAGGTTGGAAAACATGATTTGAAATAGCAAGGATGTGCTAACGCTTCCGTTTTTGCACTTTATTGGGAGAAAAAATGTAAGGAGCGCCCATTGAATCAACGGCGTTGATAGCGCCCGTGCAAGAAATAAACTCAAAATGTACAGTACTTTTGTGCAAGAAATAAGCCGTATGCGTTCATAGACGCCTACTTGATTATGTGCTTGTGTATGGCTGTACGACACACGCTACCTTGCGCGAGTTAATTTGAATATGTCAAGCCAGATTTCTTGGCATCGTAGAAGTCGTCCATTCATATTATTCCTGTAGCAACAAACAAACTGATGCACACCATCGAAGTTCCACCTCGATGCGAGCATGCTTCTGCGGAGGTGGCCGAGGAAGCAATACACTTGTGGACCTGTGAGCATGGATTCAACATATCAAGAAAGCGCGTCGAAAGAAATGCATCTGGGAATTTTTTTCGAGGCTTTTTGAGTGCAATCGTAGCGGAAAACCCAAAAATACACGACACCTGACAGAAGAGACGTGGCAGCGCACATTTATAAAAATGGGATGCATATGCGTGTAATGATTGTGGCACTTTCAGTCTTAAGCCCGTCAGGTCCTTGAAAAATAGTCTACACCAGAGATGGCAGTCAAGAACACAATCATCCTCCGTCCATGGATGTTTGTATCCACGTAGCTCATCATCAGCGGGTTGCTCAGACGCTGCCTCTTGCTCATATTTCATCTAGTGAGCTCATAGCAATGCAGACAAAGGCAGGCATCTCGACATCCAAAATTTTGCCTCGATGATGCTTTCACAAGAGTCGTATTTGGCAATTCCTAAGGACATATCGAACGCTAAAAGAGCATTGCAATGCCAGCAGCTTACATGTAAGACTAGTATTGAAGCTCTTTTCGGGCTACTGGATTAGCATCGGTTTTAATACGCTTTCAAGACCGACCCGACCACACGACAGCTGCGATATTGTGTGATGAGCTCTGGTGTGACACACTTTGCAATGGACTAATAAGTTGAACTGCTAAAAACTAATTACAAAACCATATTTTGTCACTCCAGCTACGTACTTCACACCAATCGGCTCTGCAGTCAGGGGCTTTATTAGCTGAGGTAGATTCGAATCGCCCTCCAAGAAGAGTACAGCCACAAGCAGGCTAGTACTTCTCGGGAAGGCGGACCATCGCAGCAATGACGCTGCTGCTTCTACTGTCACGCAGCCCGATGATACCGGTGCGTACAGCGCGATCCCATGGACTTAAGCTCGATCGGGAGCCGGTGGCGCAGGCCACGGCCAGGTGAACGAAGACTTCCCGGCACTAGTAGAGGTGGTATGCCCTACTAAAGAGCGCTAAGTCTTCGTGATGGGTGTGTAGGCTGTGAGCACAAGGGAACATAGCCCAGAGAGGCGTGGTTCTCTCAAACCGGTGAAGGGCAGTGATGGACGGCTGGTAGTACACTCGGTGTACGGGGTACGATACCCCTTGAGCGTTGATGAGTTCTGGGACGTTGATGCGCCGCCGGAACGTCGCTTGGCATAGCAACAGCTGACTGCACGCTACGCCAGAGTGGTGGTCGTGGGCTGGTCCTTGGTGGACTAGCCTTTGGTACGGTGAAGGAAGTACCAGTAGTCTTCGAACAACATCGCTGTGCCCAGCATAAGAGATATCCAAAACGCTGGTGTGGCAAGGCTAGGAGGGGCCTGCCAGTCCGGCTCTATGGCGAATTATTGGTGAGTCATGTTCCCACCTCCGTCGTTCCTTGGGCGTCTAATACAGACCGCCAGGACGCAGAAGCGTCACGGAGCTGTCAGCGCGCCAACAGCTCTGCGTACAGCAAGATCATGCTCCACTGCGGCAATGTCATGGGCATGAGCCTTTTGCCCGGCGTGTGGACCTGCTACACCAGCAGCATTAAACGCCGAAGGTCGTCGCACCGTACGAGCTCCAACAGGGGTTATGCCTATTAGCGCTAACCAGGTGGATGACTTAAATCGACACGGTCACCCAGACCTTAATTTAAAAGGAAGGCATTGATCATGCTTCATGTGTGGGTAACACAATACAACACGCAGTCGCCCAAACTATAACTGAAGAGGAAGGCATTGGCAATGCTTACTGTGTGGGTAGCACAGTGCTACACGAGGTATCGAGTGCCTTTGATGCCGTCAACGAGGCATCACGATATGGGTAACGAAGTGCCACGTCACGTTAGCCGCCACAAATCGGGTCTGAACCTTGTTCAGGCCGACGGACTTAGAATCCAGAGCCCGGACTCCTCTGACACGGTCGGTGGACATCAAATCTGTCCGGTTTGTGTGGGTCTGCCACATTCGCCGACCCCAACACCGAAAGTCGTCGCGCCGTATAGACTTCAACAGTGGTGGTGCCGAAGGTAGTTCACCAGGTGGGCAACATAGGTTCAAATTGCGGGTAACAAGTTCCACAGGCAGCGAAGCTGCTTAAGGAGACCGACATTATGTGCTCTGAACGTGAGTAACAGAGTTCCACGCAAGGTCACTCAGACCATAACTGATAAAGAAGTCGCTGCATGCGCTTCCTATGTGGGTAACATAGTTTACACATCAAGGCGAGTAGCGCAGTTCTGCAACCGAAGTGGGTAACAGAGTTCCACAACCAAGGCGGGTAACATAGTTCCACACCCAGAGCCATTGACTCAAGTGGCGAGGCTATCTTAGTCTCGCCAGACGTGAGCAAATCGCTCGGCATCAAGTCGCGTACACTCAAACTTGTGACGCGAAGGCTGAATGCCTTTGGTCAGCCCGGCCGACGCGGTCGTCCATACCAGCGCAGTGCGCGCGGTGGATAGCCGTCGTTCCTGTTAGTGACTATCCCAAGCCACGAGAGATGTAGTAGTTTCAATGTTAAGTGAGGAGAGGCTTGGGAATACCTTTCCTCCCTGGATTTGCATGAGGCAAGTAGCTGTCGTGCTACCAATGGCTATCACAAGCCACGAGAGACTTAATGGTCTCAAGTTTAAGTGGGGGGGGTTCGGAACTACCTTGCTTCCCTGGTCTTGAGGTAGGACCAAGCTCCTTACGGAGTCAGGCGTCGATGTACATCGACTGCAGGCTGGAGGCGAATAGGCGGGCTAGATCTGCGGCAGCTCTAGCCAAACAAGACAGAGTGGCGACGGAAGCCGCTGACGCTAGGTGCCTCGGAATCGCTGAGCGCATCAGCAGTGTTGTGGTGCATTCAGCCACACACGAGGCGAAGCGCGGACCTGGGGCAATCACGGCACAGGTCCCTTGGTCACGAACGACCTGTCGAGTAGGATGAACGGAAAGTTGCACCCGCTGACAAGGCGGTTGCGGTACGTGATGTACGCAACGCACCGGTAGTAATGGGCCGTGGAGACATAACCCAAGTGTGGTGCACGAGTGACACACAAGTGACCAGGTGGTGGTCGAGGCAACGCACGCAGTCTTAACTGGTGCCGCGTCGAGCATGACACCGTGGTGAGGGCTGCTTGCACTACCATGGTTTGGTACCGCATGAGTACTCGGTGTCAATGCCAGATTCCAACGCCGCAGTGGCATGGTGGTGGGACGCGCTCCCACCAAGGTGGAATACCATCAAGGTGCATGGTGTATATGACAGACACTGGTATGGGTGCAAAGGATATGTCCCATACCACGACCCGATGCACTCTGGGCGTATACGCTGTGAGTCAATGCACGTACCGAGCATCGACACTGACTGCTTTTGAGCAGCCTGCCGGGTGTTCCACGTACTGAACTCGTCGTGCATGACACACATGAAGTGTACGGAGCACTTATGGTAACTGTGGTATGTGTCGTAAACAGTGTACCTGGTGTACGGGTCCATGGGCCTGTACACTGTGCTTGCACATGCGTCGTGCATTATGCGAGCACTGGCCATGAATCCGTTCAGGCGATAGCACAGCAGAAGCTGTTGCCGCCAAACATAGCAACCTTGGGCGTGCCGCACCAAAGGTTAGTACCGGACGGTACACGGTGTCGATGGGAGACACCTATGTGGTGTTGGAAATCCCACGTGAACTCTAGCTACAGATGTAGTTAGGATGTTCCCACAACAATACGTCTACTAGGATAGTAAACGATCGTTCGGGCGGACCTGAAGACCCCAGTTCTGCCCTTGCACCGGGACAAACTGGACCTTGTAAACTACTTATATAGGCCAACCAGTAAAATAAGAACACGCTACTAGCACGAGCAAAGCTAGCAGGTGTTTTGAATCCTCGTGGTCCCAACAGCGGAAGGGTACCAGGCACGGGTAAGCCTTTTACGAGATCACCGAGTGTTCAACACTCGGCTGGAAGAAATAAAAGGGAGGCAATTCAAGCACTCCCAGTCGTGCAAATAGGCAACAATAAGCCGTCACGTAAAACCTCCCGATAATAATCGACCAATACACAAAGTCTCTTGGCCTTGCCGGATGAACCCTCGCTACAGGGCTTCGAGTTCACCGACAGGCATAACACACTCAAACAAGCTTGACCTGACGCTTACCTTGAAGCCGGACGTCGCTCTGTGTGCTTGAGTGGAAATTCTGTTCTGTATTTAAGCTT